TTTTTTTTTTTTTTAAATAATGTATCACATTTTGCTGCTGCTTTGCATACATGATGCATTTTGGTTGGATGTCAGACACTGTAAATTATGCCGAGTTGGTGCTGGATATTGTATTTATATAAATATTCTTGAGCTTTGTTCTGGGATGCAATTGAGTTAGTTGGAAATAGGTTGATAATTTTGGATCTTGTGTTATGGTTTGTTAGATGACTCTGAGCAGTGCCAAGTCTATTCCCCACTACTGAGGCAAGACAATTCTGAGTAACCAAGATACCACTAAGTATAAGGCTTTGCAGTTTGGCAATAGGACAATGTTCTATTTCTGTTGTGAATACCAGGTACTATTGTCTCTAATCATTTCAGGTGGTTATTTTCTTGGCCGGGGGTAGTTTTTGCATGTGCATGAACTATTCATTTGCCTTGGTCTCCCTGGACTCCCAAATGGATTTCCTCAACTCAGGGAGCTCACTGGGCCCCACCCAGGTTTCTCCTCTCTGCATTGTAGCTTAGAAATTTTCTCAAGGAAGTATGGTGGGGCAATTGTAGGCCTCACTTCATTTGTTTCCTGTCCTTCAGGGACCATTGACATTTGCTGTCTGATGATGTCCAGTGTCTTGAAAACGGTTTTTCATATACTTTGTCTAGTATTTTATCATTTAAAGCAAGAGGATAAATTTAATCTGTGTTATTCCATCTTGGGTGGAATAGTGACTTGCCTCTAAGAAACAGAATGTGGAAGAAAGGAGAATGTGTAGTTTTGGGATTATATCATAAAAGGCATTTTGGTTTCCTTTTTGATCGTGTTCTTTGAACATGTTCCTATTTATCTAAAAGAGAAGATTATTTGCTCTCGGAGAAGCCAGCTGCATGGGATGAAGATATTCAAACAGCCCTATGGAGAGGCCTAAGTGACAAGGACCTCTTGCCAAAAGTTATGTGAATATGACATCTTGGAAGTGGATATTCCAGCCTCAGTCAACCCTTCAGATGACGACAGCCCTGGTTGACTTCTTGACTGAAATCTTATGAGGAACCCGAAGCCTGAATTACCTACCTAAGTCACTTATGAATTTCTAACCCATACTAACTGTAAGATAATCAATGTTTATTGTTTTAAGCCACTACATTTTCAGATATTTTTGTAGCAACAGACAATTAATACAGGAACAAATTCTACTCAAGCTGTACAAAGTATCAGTGGAATTCCTTAATTAATCTCATCCATTCCCCGTCATTCCTACCCCAGCCCAAGTAACAATGCACAGGCAAAACCACCAGATTTAGTATGTGGAGCATTTACACTAAAAACTATTACTATATGACTCCTTTGGAGAAGTAAACCCCTAGCTGTTTTGAGCCTAAAGTACTACTTTGGTCCTTTAGTGCTGCTATAATAAACATACCACAGTAGATGGCTTTAACAAATGGGGTTTATTCTCTTATAGTTTAGGAGGCTAGAAGTCTGAGTTCAAAGTGCCGGCTTTAGGGGTTGGGTGAAGGCTCCTTGACCTTGGGCTTCAGCTCTGCCTTCCGTTCCAGGCCCACTAGAGCTGGAGGGTTTTTCTGACTCACACAGCTCCTAGCTGCTGAGGCTGATGAACCCAAGATCAACAAGTAAAACGGCACAGTCCCAAGATTAGCAGACAACATGGCAGGCCACTAGTTCAAGTCTAGGAACAATCTCAAGATTGGCAGGCAACATGGCAGGCCACTGAGATAAGACTTGGCCAAATTCAGGATCCAGATGTGCCAAAAGCTCAGCAACCTTTCCCAAAGCTTAAATACTGGAAGCAGGCCATACCCTAAAGGCAGCTACTTAGCTGCTCATAGCAGATTCCACCATGACATTGATTATCAATATCATCATGGGGAATAACTACACCAAGCTGTGCAGCCACTTAAAGCCACAGGCTAGCCAAGTTGACACACAACCTTAACTACCACCAAAACAAAACAAAAACCACCACCAACAACAACAAAAAACCCCCCAAAACAAACAAGCCAAACTCACTGCTTTTGAGTTGGATTTGACTCATAGGGTTTCTGAGGCAGTATCACTATGGAAGTAGATTGCCCAGTCTTCCTTCTGAGGAGTGGCTGGTGGGTTTTAACCACTAGCTTTCTGGTTAGCAGTTAAATGCCTTAGGCACTATGCCACCAGAGCTCCCTTAACTACCACAGGTACCTTCCAAATCAACCATTTAATATTTTTATAATGTTTTAACCAAAGAGGCATAAAGTAATGAATATTATTTTTATTCTTTATAATATCAATGAAGATATTATCTTTCTACTTTCAATGATAGAAACTAAGGCATTAATTAAAAAAAAATGAATCAATTCTAGTCAGGTATTATATTAATAATTTGTTGTTGCTGTTGTTGTTATGTGCCATGGAATTGGACCCGACTCATAGTGACCCCGCCTTGGGTTTCTGAGGCAGTATCACTACAGAAGTATATTGCCCAACCTTCCTTCTGAGGAGTGACTGGTGGGTTTGAACCACCAGCCTTCTGGGTAGCAGTCAAGTGCCTTAGGCACTACGCTACCAGAGCTCCTATTAATAATTTAGCAATAGATTTATGAAACTTCCAAAGGAGGATTTATGAAACTTCCTCCTTTGGCAATCCTAAATAACAGGATTTATATCAATTTAACAAACTATATCAGCATAAAGTTGCCTCAAAGAATAGGATGCACCTGTTGTTGTTGTTGTTGTTGTTATGTGCCGTCGAGTCGACCTTGGAAAACCTTCCTCATCCCTGTGATTCTGAACTTTCTATACAGGGGAAAGGGAAAATTTGAATTTTGCTTGAGGAGGAGGAGTGAGAGTTGTCTAAGTGTGAGAGAGCTTTGTACAAGAACTGACCCTGGTCCACCCTTTGCCTTCTAAAACCCCAGGGGGCGTTTCACCTGAGTCTTATGTGGAACTGTAGAGAAATATTTTCATGTTTCTTCACAGTTAGGTCTTTCTGAGCAAAGAAAACTAACCTGGATTAAAGGAAAAGCCTTGGAAGTTTAAGGGTTACTTAATAGCCACAGATCACTGAAAAGAGTATTTCCCTAACTGTTTACATTTCAAAGGGAGATGAAACTCAGAGCCCAGTCCTGGAGTCAGTTATTTACATTCCAAAGGACTGTAAACAATTAAGAAGCCCAGGTTCTTTCTCGCTGTCCCCCCTTTATTTGGGGATGGTGGTCATGTAGCCTATAATAATCCCCATATTCATAATTTTTGTGTTCCTCTCCTGTGGTACAAACCTCCATATATCATCTGTGGGTACTGGGTGTGGAGAAACAGTGTGGTTATTGCTGTAAGTAATAATTCTGATCTCTATTTCAGAAATCTCATGTTTGCTTTCAGGATAAAATATAGATATTTAAAAATTGTTATCCCACTCACCATAAAGGGGAGGATGCACTCGTGATGATTTTGCACCATGTATAAGCTGAACAGGGACATGCGGCTGGGGCCCATCAAGCTGCAGGCTAGAGAGAAAAAGTTCTTCAGAGCCTCACAAAGGTTGGAGCAGATGTCAGCCCATGAAGGCAGAGCGACATGCACAATGAGAAGCCGTGGTGGTTGCTGGTAAATGTGTGCTTGAGTGGAGAGTCCTTTGCTGGTAGTTTGCCCATGATTCATGGCAGCTAGACCAGAGGTAGAACTGCAGCCACTACCTGAATATTCTTGACACCTTTAGGGAAAAAAAGAGAAATTACTGACTTTCATAAAATTGAATTATGTGCTCTGTTGAAACAATGAACAGAGATCTAGGGGGCTGAGTCCAGAAAAGAGTCAGACTGGACCCTAAATTCAACAAACTTGCTATACTCTCTTAATGGTTATAACAATTTTTCTCTGGAGCTTTTGGATTTTTTGTTTACAATCATATAATCTGGGAATAATGACATGCACCGAGATATATGAACAAAATCAGACTATATTAGCAAAAGACTATTCATAACAGCCTTATGCACTATTTCCCCAAATTTCAAACAACACAAATCTACATTACAATGGATAAATTGTATACTTACACATACAGAAACGAAAATGAATGAACTAGTTACATGGAAAAACATGGATGAGTCTAAGAAACTTAATATTGAATAAAACAAAAAAGACAAAGAATACTTACATGTATGATTGCATCTACATAGACATTATACATAAGCAAAAATAAATATATTGTTTAGGGATGAATACATAGTGGTAAAATTATAAAGCAAGGAAATGATTATAAAAAAAATTAAGTTGGTGATTTTGTCTAGAAAGGAAGGAGGGCCTTATGATTAGAAGGGACAAAAGTGGGGCTTCTGGGGTGTTGTCGATGCTCTATTTCTTGATCTTTATTGTTGTTACATGGCTGTTCACTTTATAATTATTGAACTGTATGTTCATGTTTTATGAAATTTTATTTACATATATTATAGTTAGCGAAAATAATTTTTTAAAAAAGAACATTAAGACACTATAAATAGAAACGTTCTTTAGATCAAAGAAATGGGTCCCTACTTCTGGGAACTAAAATGATTTTTTGCAATTGTTTTTTAGCTAAAGAATTAAGGGAAACATAAAACTGGCTTTTTATTTCACCAATGACCAAGAGAAAGACAATTACGATAATTTTCAGAAACTCTTTGGAATTTATGATCTTTAAGAATTATGTAAGAGTGCATAGACACATATGTTTCTCAAAATGAATGTCAGTTGCTGTTGGATTGATTCCGACTCATGACAACTCCATGTGTATCAGAGTAGAAGAACTGTGCTCCACTGGGTTTTATTTTGTTTTTTAAATTGTGATTTGGGTGAAAATTTACAAAGCAAATTAGTTTTCCATTCAACAATTTATGTACATTTTGTTTCATGACATTAGTTGCAATCCCCTAAGTGTATGAGCACTCTTCCCACTTCTTCCTTGGGTTCTCTGTTTCTATTCGTTCTTCTTTTCTGCTCCTTTCTGCCTTTAAGCTTTCTTTTTGGCAAATGCTGCCCTTTTGGTTTCCATAGGGTTTTCAATGGCTGATTATTTTGAAGTCAATAGCCAGGACTTTCTCCTGAGGTGTCTCTAGGTGGACTCAAGCCTCCAACCTTTCAGTTAGCACCCAAGCATGCCAGTGGTTTGCACCACCCAGGGACTCTTTAAAATGAATATGTCAAGTTATTTCCTTGAAATTTCCCTTTTTTTATTGGTGGAAATTGGTATTCATTTATTCAACAATCTTATGGAGCTCCAACTATGGGCTGGGTACAATGGAACAAATAAATATGTTGAAATTAAGCTATCTGTTGAAATTAATCTTGAACCAGAATCCAAATCAATCACTAATGAGCAAGACAGCACATCCCATAAGGATCTTTTAGTTATACTTTAAAATTAAGTGCATGGGAACAATTTATACAGGGAATGCTGAATTTGAGGCTGGCACAGATTCACACAGGCAAACAAGCACACAGATGCCTTATTTGATGCAGAAGTGTCTACTCCCTCTCCCATCTTCTCCAGAATCTGAAACCCTTATTTGTCATTTTAGAGTACAGGCAGTCCTCACTTTGCATGGTTCCAGTATGTACAAATTAAAGTTACCACGATATAGTTAACTAACACCAGCCCCCTAACAATATGATAAGTAACTATATAAAGCACAAATTGCAGCTAGCTCTTCAGTCTGCTATGTAAATAACATACGTGCTTCATGATCAGTGTTTCCCCAAACTCGGTTGCTGACTGCACTGACTGTACATCTATAATTCCGTTCACACATAGACAGCAAAGTATGTAGTTGTGTTAATTCTTTGTTACCTAGTGATAAACACATGTGACATTTTACAAAAATGAATAATCAAAAGAGAATATAACAAATATGAAAGAGTAGCAAAGAAAAGTGATAATGTTGGAAGCGAAATTTGACTAGAATGTAAATGGAGTTATGGAAGAAACAGCTGACCATGAGGATGTTGACATTGCACACTTGATAGACTCTAGATTTGCAGCCAGAGGAACATGTTGTTGTTGTTATGTGCCGTAGAGTTGGACCCGACTCATAGCAACCCCTCCTTGGGTTTCCGAGGCAGTATCACTATGGAAGTAGATTGCCCAACCTTCCTTCCCAGGAGTGGCTGGCTGGTGGGTCATTGTTGTTGTTGTTGTTGTTATGTGCCGTCGAGTCTGCCCCGACTCATAGTGACCCCTCCTTGGGTTTCTGAGGCAGTATCACTACTTCCGAGGAGTGGCTGGTGGGTTTGAACCGCCAGCCTTCTGGTTAGCAGTCAAGTGCTTTAGCCACTATGCTACCAGAGCTCCCATAGTCAAGGTGAATTTAACAACATAAATGAGGAAGTGGTTGTGACCAAATGTCTGAAGATGTCCCAGAGAAAGCGACAATGACAAAAGACTTCATATTGAAAGAAATCTTCGAGATATTTTACAACATTGAAAACGTAAAGAATAAAATGTTAGATGTTGATTCACACTTAGAAAGGAATGTAACAACTTATTAAGGCATAGAAGATGCTTGCTAGTTTGCAGGTTTGAAGATAATTATAAGTTATACCATGAGATGAAGGCAAGCACTAGTCAAACTATTTTTTAAACAGAGAAATAAAACATTTTAATCTTCAATTTTCTAATGTTTTAAATTACAGTGTACTACATAAATATCAGGAGCTCTGGTAGCATAGTGGCTAAGACACATGCCTGCTAACCAGACGGCTGGTGGTTCAAACCCACCAGCCACTCCTCGAAAGGAAGGTTGGGCAATCCTACTTCCGTAGTGATACTGCCTCGGAAACCCAAGGAGGGGTCGCTATGAGTCAGGTATGACTCGACGGCACATAACAACAACAACAACATAAATATCACTTTTACTATTTTTTTCATTTCCCTATACACACAACTGACAGTTTTTACTTTTAAAAGATCACAAAACAACTGTACTTTTCCCCACTTAAATCACTTTGCATGGTTTCAGCATGAACAGTCATTTTTAATGTCTCACACTTTCAATTTGAAAGACTTTACTTCAAATGGGGTAAGAGGCAGTTTTCTTTTTTGTATCTTCAAACATGATTAATTACAACATTTGATAAACATAGTACCAAGCAGGATCTGACTTCATTTCTGACCCCATACTCTTCGTTTTTGCCAAGAGCACCCACTTAATGGTTTTTCCCTGCAAACTGGTTATATCTGGAACCAGTTATATCTGGCCTTGAACCACCAAAAACCATCAAGTTAGTCCCTTCATAAAATTTCTTAAACCATTTTCAGTTGTATTTGGAACAAAAACCTTACCCTGACCCCAAAACTCTGCTTGTGTCTTCTGCTCAAACTCCCTCACCTCATGCCATGCCAGCTGCTGCCCAACATCCATTTCTCCCTCCAGCCTCTCTTCGGTGTCTTTCAGGTCCCAAAATGTGTTGTGGTTCTAGCTGTGGCTCCCGCTGCTGCTAATCACTCTTTTCTGAATAAGTAAAGTGCTCCTGAACCTTACTTGTCCTTTAGGTTTCAATAATTTAGAGCCCCTTTATGCGTACCCATAAAAGTGCCTATAAACCCACTGCCCTCGAGTCTGACCCGACTCATAGCGAACCCTCCTTGGGTTTCCGGGGCAGTATCACTACAGAAGTAGATTGGAGGAGTGACTGGTGGGTTTTAATCGCCAGCGTTCTGGTTAGCAGTCAAATGCCTTAGGCACTACGCCACCAGAGCTCAAATGCCTTAGGGACTCCACCACCAGAGCTCCTATACTACGCTTTTATAACCCTCAGTTCACTTCCTCCTGTGAGAAATAATTCAATGATTCTCCCTCAGGTACTGCAGCACTGAATTTCGTGGTACCTTCTCCATTTTTTTTTTTTTTTTTCTTAAATGAAAATATTTTCGTGGGCCCCTAGGCGCGGAGCCTTTTATGCATTATAGACAAGGGGCCCTGCCCTCAGGCCTGGGCAGTCTTCAGAGGCGGACAGGCCCGGCATAGGCCCAGCAGCTCAGTAAACTCGAGCTGAGAGATGACTCGACCCGCAGTGTGTTTTAGTCCCTCATTTCCCGGGTCTGGCCGTCAGTCCTGCCTCTGCATCTGCCATGGGCCAGGATGGACTCGGGCGGGTTCCTGAACCTCTAACACCTGCCTGAGGGGGGCAAGCTCATTCCTTCATTCAGAGGTCCCCAGCACCTTCTCCTGCCCTGAGGCGTGTAGCACTGCAAAGATCCTCACTTTTTCTTGGGAAGTCAGAAACTCCATTACCTGGCCCTCTGGCTTTCCGCGTCCACCCGCACCGCCGAGGGCGCCCCCTTTCGGCCTGCCGCGGCTGTGCTAGGCGGCCCACTGTGTGCGCGCTGCGGGGTGGCAGGGGGGAGGGGCAGGGCTTCCTCCGGATTTCACCTCAGGCGTGCACCTCTTCAAAGTCTCCCAGTTCGTGGTGCCCGAACTCACTGCCATGGAGTCGATCCCGACTCATAGCGACCCCTCCTTGAGTTGCCGAGGAGGTATCTCTACGGAAGTAGATTGCTCAATCTTTCTTCAGAGTCCCCCCCCAGTGCCCTGGTAACTCTTTATTTGGCCCTTAAGTAGAGTTTTGGATCTCTATTGAGAATATTTGCTAAACCTGGCATCTGCACCTTACCTTCTCTCCCTGCCCCCCTCAATGAAACATTTCAGTGGCACCCCTATGGTGTTTTTTTGGCTTT